CAGCGTACCAAGTAATCTGTTCTTCTTCTTCGTTACCGATTTTTATGTTCCACCATAGTGTGGAGAAGTCTGTTAAAACGCAGGTTTCCATGCGTTACTTGCGATATACATATCTAAGGTTTTCAATTTTTGACAGGAGTGTGTACACAACTATTTAGCACTAGTTACTAGTAGAGATTACTATAATGCTAGTCCGCTAATATGCTAATAGACCGGTCATCCCTCATGACAAGACAGGACTGGAGGCAAGCCATCCCCGGTCCTCAGTGCGTAGTGGCCACGACAGCAGGACTGCCTGGCTGTCGGAATTAGGTCAGAACCTTAAGGCCGCGGCTGGAAGCCCTGGTCTTCCACCCCTGGCCCGCATTTTCCCAGCAGCAGTGCCAGAGCACAACAATTGAAGGGAGGTCAATAATAGAAAAGTGACACCTACACGTTCTCCTCCGGTTTCAGAAAACACCTCTGCGGGCAGCCTCTGCCCTCCCGCCCAACCAGGCTCCAGGGGCTCCGGCTCTGGCTCCGGCTCCGCTGCAGCCCCTGCCCCTTCCCACGCCCCCTCCCCTCCCGCGCATCTCCAGGTCCTTGGGTGAGGGGCTCTCTCGGGACCACTCTATGCATCTAATTTGAACAACTGTCTGAAATTGGGATCTTTGTGGCCTCCTGTTGGGCACCTTGTTTGTGTCTTACACCTGGTAGTCTTGACAGTGAACTATCCTCTTTATTTGCACCTGTTACCTGGATTAATAAACAGGACCCCTGTTATTAGGGCCTAGCGCGGCTCGCGAGCCCCATGCGGCTCTTTGGCCCCTTGAGTGTGGCTCTTCCACAAAATACCACGTGTGGGCCCGCACCTACAGTGCGATTGAAACTTCGTGGCCCATGCGCAGGAGTCGGTTTTCGTCCTGGGCGAGTCTATTTTGAAGAAGTGGCGTTAGAAGAAGTGGGGGGTGTCGGTTGGGCGAGGGGAGACTCAGCGCGGGGGAGGCGCGCGCGAGGTGAGTGAGCCAGTCAGTCAGCAGTCTCATTGTGCAGTGATTAGTGCTAGTCCCTCCGCAAATCGCCCGCGGGTGACAAAAGATAGGAAACAAGTACACAAGACGAGTGTGGATGGGAGAGCTGGAAGGGGTCGACCTCAGCGAACGTACCTCAATCAGATTGAGGACGTTTTTAGCAAAGGCCAGCTTAGGAGTCCCCTAATTAAGTTAATAACAATGTACCTACCTATATAGTTTAAGTTTAAAAAATTTGGCTCTCAAAAGAGATTTCAGTCGGTGTACTGTTGATATTTGGCTCTGCCGACTAATGAGTTTGCCTAGCGGGATGGAGAGTAATAATAACAGGACCCCTAGCGCGATGGAGAGTAGCCCAGGCAGAGCTGGGATAGACTTAAAGACTCTGGTCCCTCTGTAGGTGGGGTGCCCAGCTGGGGAGGCCAGTCAGTTGGAGTTGGGGTGATGTCCCAGGGAACCAGCTCTGCCTTTGGGGCCAGCGCCTGGGGATCAGAACCAGGCTCCACCAGGTCCATGAACCAGTTGTTTAGGGAAAACAAGGCTGACTTCAGGAGTGTTGCTGTGAAGTTATGTCACGTGACTGGTGCTTGGCTGGATGGATTCATGTTGTTGTCTTAGGAGCCTTCCAGCTGCACCTCAGCCTCCCACAGCCTGGTCCAGGCTCCGTCTCCTGAGCAGCCAGCCACTGGCCAGCCCATCCCTGCTCTCCTCCTCGCTCCAACTTCCAAGCCTGCAAAGTAGGGGAACTCTTAGCTGAGTTTCAGGGTGCTCTCTACACATGGAGACCATCACCGACTTTCCAAAACAGGCTCATTTTCCATCAGTGAGTTCCAAATTGGGCAGAAAAACATGGGTGTTGTGCATGGACTGTATCCTAGAGCAGCGGTCGCCAACCGGTGGTCCTCGGGCCACTGGTGGTCCCTGAGGTCCGAAAGGATGGCGGCCGCTGGTTTAAGGGAACCTGTGGCAACAGGACCTGAAGAGGTGACGACCTGAGTCCCCGCCTGGAGGGTTCTGGAACCAGATCACACAGACCTTGGCTGCGTGGTGGAGTAACGCTGCGAGGACAGCTCCTCCCCACCTCACACGAAGAGCCTGTTCCCTCCGCCACCGCCCTCCCGCCAGGCTGAGGCGGGCGCTTTGGAATTTGGAGATGATATGACTTTATCCACCTGCTTCTTACCGTCACAGACCAGCCTCTCCTCCATCAGGGTCACAGACCAGCCTCTCCTCGTCAGCGTGGGATCACCACTTCCCCCACCCCAGCCAAGGAGGGAGCCACCCTGCAGAGCCTGGCGAAGGGGCTCATCAGGAGGGAGGGGTGCTCTGAGGGCTCAGGGCGAGGGGTCCCGACTGGGGAGTGCTTGGGGGCCGGTGAAGAGAAGTGCAAGGAGACTCTCTAACTTTGAGTTTGTTTGCATTTTATTTGTGCATATTGATCATGCATTTAGACTTCCTCTCAATGCAATAGAAAGTCTTTTTCAACCAGACAGGAAATGGGAATAAACAGTATCACGAACAACAGTATGTTCACCTCCGGGTGATAATGTTTTTCCTGCACCTGCTTTATCGCTATTTCTGTCTCCAAGTTTCTGTGTGTGAGCGGCTTCGTTCACTGTGCCGGCTGCCGCCAGCCTCCTGGGAGACTTGCTACCCGCTGGGCCCCTGCTGGGGATTCGCATGGGCCCTCTCGTTCACCGCAGACCTCCGCCCTGCAGACAAGTGCTACTGTTTCCCCCTTTTTACAGAAGATACTGAGACATAGTGATGAGACTTGCTTAAGGTCACCCAGCAAACTGACCCCAGAGCCCACTTGTGTAATTGGTACTTGATACCAACTACCTCACAACCATCTCAGGCTTTAAACAGCCTGAGAGCATGAGCGGGGGGTGGGGGGGGGGTGGGGGTTTAATGGGGGGGATGAGGACACATTTGTAATACCTTAGCTAATAAAGAACTAAAAAAATATAAAATAAAAAAACAGCCTGTTGGAGGAGTGCCGCCACGCCCACTGCAGCCTGTGTGTGGGGAGCTGAGCCAGCAGCTAAGGGGGCCTGGATGCAGATCACCTGCCTCCTCCCCACCTGCCCCACTGCTCACCCCTCTGCAGCCAGAGTCCTCTGAAATCGAGAAAGGAGCCGCTGCCTCATGGGATTGGGCTGCAATAGGAATGCTGAGCACAGTGCCTGAGCCTAAGCGCCCAGTGGTAGCCATGGTTACCAGGATGCCAGTTACCTTGGACCAGGGGTCCTCAAATTTTTTAAACAGGCGGCCAGTTCACTGTCCCTCAGACCGTTGGAGGGCCTGACTGTAGTTTTAAAAAAAACTATGAACAAATTCCTATGCACACAGCAGCGGCAAAAACACCCGGCGGGCCGGATGAATGTTTTCGGCGGGCCGCATGTGGCCCGCGGGCCGTAGTTTGAGGACCCCTGCCTGGGCTCACGCATAGCAGGTGAGAGAGAAGCCTGATTGCAGGCAGCAGGGCTGGGTTTGTGGTGCCCATGACTGCCCTGCAAAGCCCTGATTTCCAGCACCTGTGAGGGCGGGGAGCTCTCCCTGCCCTGTGCGCGGCTGCCCAGTCCCAAGGCACTGTCTGCACCAGCGTGTGCGCCCTCCCCCTCTCCGCAGCATGGGCGGCTGTAGGCTCTAGTCTGCCGTACACCCCACCGCACCCTCTGCACCTCTGGGGGTGAGCCATCCTCATTCTGCGACAGGAGGGCGAGGGTGGGTGGAAATCACAGGGTCTCTGCCAAGTGACGACTCATCTTGTAACAGGAACCAGGTCACCTGGACCTCTGGGACCTGGTGGGGTTCTTATTGATTTTTGAAAGAGGGAGGGAGGGGGAAACATCAACGTGAGAAACAGCCAGGGGTTGCCTCACAAGGAACTGCGACCCAGGTACGTGCCCTGACCCCTGACCGGGAACCGGCCAGCATGTGGTGTATGGGGGACCCTCCAACCAACCGAGCCACCCCAGGCTGACCTGGGCTCTGGTACAGACATGCCAGCTGGAGTGGAGCTGGAGGGGGGGGGACCCCGATTGCTGCCTGCTGCCCAGGCCTTCACCATCCTCCTGGGACAAGCGCGTGTAAGAGGGACATTCAGACAAACCAGGACAGAGACAGTCGGCCAGACAGCCTGTTTATTGGGGAAAGGTGCTCTCCCAGGCGCTCAGTAAAATAAATAAACAACCAGACACAACCATGACGATCCTACACTATTTACAGCCCCACGCTCCGTGGGCCAAGGCTGCATGCTCTCAAAGCAGAGGCAGCACTCCGCCCGCCCGGCCAGGGGACAGGAGGCCAAGGGCGACCTCATTCCCAGCTCAGCTGGGGCTCAGGGACAGGCTGCTCTCGCCGCAGGCCTGGAGGCGCAGCATGTGGGCCAGGGGCGCGCCGTTGATGGCCACCAGGAGCCGCAGCTGCGCCAGGCAGTCCTGCAGCTCGGGCTCGGGGTGCCCGCCCAGGCGCAGGTCCACGGGGCGCGGGAGCCCGAGCAGCCGGTCGGCCAGCGCCAGGCAGCAGATGGCGAGCAGGGAAGGGGCGTAGCTGCTGAAGGCGTAGTCGGCCAGGCTCAGCTCGGCCACGGCGCGCGCCAGCGCCTGCGCCTCCAGCGCGTGGGAGACGGGGGCCTGCCCGGCGTCCACGCGCGCGTGCGTGAAGTGCTCCAGGAAGAAGCTGAGGGTGGGCGCGCCCAGGCTGAAGCTCAGCTTGTGCAGCACGATGCGCTCCAGGTTGCAGAGCTGCTGCCGCGAGAAGGCGCCGCCGCACAGCGACAGGAGCTGCTCCACGCGCGGCGGGTGCACCTCCACCTGCAGCACAGGGCGCTCAGCCCCCGCCGCGGCCTCCAGGCCCGGGCCCGCACCCCAGCCTCCAACCCGGGGGAAACCGGGGCCCCCTCCCTTCTAGCGAGATGGCCGTGACTTCCACGTGGTCACCTGGCCGCGCTCCCAAGACCTTCTCTACCCGCCGTCCCGCCGAGAAACGGGCGAGGGAGCGAAGGGGCTAGGAGTGCACGGGCCGCGGGGACGCGCGCAGCCCAGCTCAGTGGGGGCGGGGCGGGGCTAGGGCTGTGGGGTGCACCGGGTGCCGGCGTCTGCCGGGAGTTCGGGGAGCCCCGCGCGAAGCCGTGCGCGCCGGGAGAGCCCGCAGCCGGGCTGCCCAGGCCCCGCGGGCAGGTACCTGTTTGCAGGCGATGAGCAGCGCCGTGACCCCGAGCAGCTGGAAGCAGTCGGCGGCCACCGGCGTGGTGGCGAGGAAGCGGTCCAGGGTGTTCACCGCCAGGCACAGCGACTCGAAGGAGAGGCCGAACCGGCGGTGCACGGGGATCAACCAGCTGAGCAACTTGCAGCGCGACTCCGCCGTGACCTGCGGGGGAGCCGAGGGGGGGGGGGGGCGGCGGAGCTGGCGGAGAGCGCCGAGC